ATATGTGAACCAGGCTTAAAGCGTATAAAGTTCAAACTTCAAAATGTATGGTTTTCATTTGCCTAATACAATAACAATAACTAATTTTATTAGCATCTCATATATTATAGGTTCGTATATGGTATTGCCTTACATTATATTATTTACTAACAACGAGTGAATATTACACCGCAAAGCTTTTCGCGTGGATTATATTTCCCGCAGTACTAAAATTTGCGCACCCATGCAGCTCTGCGCGAATTCCTGCAGTATTGCTCGAATTTTAGTACAAATAAACATATACAAATAAACATTTTTCCTAATTGCCGTTGTGCTGCTGTTTCAAGATGATCTACAAATAAACATTTTTCCTATAACTTGGAGATAATCTATATACAGTACAGAAAATATTTCAGTTTCCTGACTGCCATAAGTTGTCCTGCTGTTTCGGGATGATCTATATGTGCTGCTGCTTAGCCAGATAAACATTGTCCCTAACTGTCGTTGGGCCGCTGTTTCAAGATGATGTACATTTGAAAACTTTCGAACTACTGTTATCTTACTTTTTCAAGATAATCTGTTGTTCGAAGTGGTATGTTGATGAATAAATTTTGTAACTTTTGTGCGTTTTTTTTTTATTTTGGTGTGAAAAACAGCCACTTTTCTACAAATTTTAAATCTAATTTCGATGCTCAGAATGCAGGAAATGGTACTTGCGGGCTTCAAATTTCAAAAATTTTCTGGGGGGGCATGCCCCTAAACCCCCCTAGATAGGGCGTGGCCTTCGGCCCCGCATGTTGATTTCATCCAAAATGCTACGGTCAGATTGAGACGCTGAATCCGCCCCTGTTACCCACACACAATTGGCAACGACACATAGTACATTTAACTAAGTTCAAATCTTGTATAATATGACAATTTATCCCGTAACATCGTCAGATGACCATTCTAAAAGATTTGGAAAAGAATCAAATGAATCTCGCCGGTCAGACTGTGTTGATGGAATGCGCCTTTAAAATGACAAAACTATAAATTTAATCAGAAAGCTTCCCAGGTGATCTCGTGTTCGTATTTTAGCCAATCAGCGCTCAGAAAGGGTTGTCCGGATAGAAATCCATTTTGATGTATTCAGTCAATTATATCTTTCGTTATTCTTTATGAAACTAGTTGAAATTTTGTCATTATGTTTGGTTACGAGAACTATAGCTCTGACAAAAATATGGAATCGAAATAAAGTATATTACAGGAGATATTCAGTTGTTTTAATCATAAAATGGATTTCTATTTGACAACTAGTGCCAGTACTTTTCCACGTATCAAGATCATCTGGTCAGATAAATAGGGAAATAGGGATGCACCTACCTGAAAAATACAACGAAGAACTTAATCGACGCGCTACTAAGAAATCAATCATGCATATATGTTACTGTATGTGTTACTGAACATGTTGATGTAATATATGAACAACGAGAGCGAGTGTTTCACCGGGATATCCAAACACGGGAAAACAATGTATGAAAACACGAGCGCGAGTGTTTTCATACATTGTTTTCGAGTGCGGTTTGGATATCCCAGTGAGACACGAGCTAGTCGAGTTGCATGTTTATATGGCTTCTCAAATCTCAAATGAATCGAGACGTAACAGAATGTTTTCGTTTGCTGATTTGAATAGAATTCTCAACCAAGCATAACCTAAATAGAAATTCTATTCAAGTAATTTTGCATGCGTAATTAAGATATTTGATGAAAACACTAGTGACTCTCATCAAATTTCACCGGGTTATCCAAATGGAATCTTGTGATCAAATAGGTGATTATCATTGGCTGAATTGCTCATGAATTATTAATGAATTTGAGAAGTATATGTTACCGTATATGTTACAGTATTTGTTACTTTATGTGTTATACATGTATACGGTTACAGCTATACTGAGTTACTGTAGCAAGCCACAGCTAGGGTATATAAAAAAGTGCACACCATCAGTTCTAAAATGTCTACGAAACTGAAAATTCCGCACGTTTTGTGACAACTTTATGTTATCAAGGGTAGCTTGGGGTCTTTTGGTACTCTCTATCACAAAATTACTGACCTTTGTTTTCAATTCACTTTCCGCCTCCTCCGTAATTACCGCCCTCCTGCTTTCTGCATGCATATTTGCCCCCATTACCATTGTTAAATCTGCGACGCAGAACGTTCGGGTCTGCTTGAAATTCAGTACTACAATTAAGAGAGATTTTTATTACAAAACAGCCAGGCAATGATGAGATCATTGTGCTAACTGAATGGAGTTGGGACATCAATGATAAAATTTATAAAACTCAAATCATTAATAATTTATGAGTAAATTAGCCAACCATATTGCTTTATTTTACTCACATGATAATATTGGATCACCAGGTGAAGTACATTGATCCAGTCCTTGGACTGGATCAAAATTAATTCACCTCACTTTAAGTAGTGATTTATTAGTTTGGGATGTCATTTCAAATCTTCCATTTCGGACTGGACGTTATTGCCTCGTCCGTGGAGCATCCCACAGGTTTCTGTCGAAGTTTTATCAAGCAGGCTGGGTGAAATTAGTGTTAAGAAAGCGGAATGTCAACTCGAAATTGTAAAAGCACTGACTTTTCAACATTATTGTCTTCATCATCATCATGGTTCGTCACAGCGTTGCCATTTTTCAAAACTTCCTTAACCAAACCATGGCCATATCCAGCGTTTCCTTTTTCGATCGGAATCGTATAAGCCACAGCAAAGAGTATAGCAAGAACGAGTAAGAAATACGTTGTCTTCATCTTTGAGTTTTGTTATCCTCTGAATGACTGCATGTCTTCGTGTCTCCACTTTTTTATACTCGCTGATTATGCTAATTTAATTTAATTTATTTAGTTGTATCATACGTCAAATAATACGTTTTGTAACATTAAGTGGTATGATATGTCTCTAGCTTAGGATTGCATACAAACGAATCCATATCAAGCAAGTGTATAATATCAGTTCACTTCATAAATAAAACGGCTAATATAATATTTTCTTTGTAAAAGCTCGAAAACAAGAAATTACATAAAAGTTGCGCGCCATATCAATTTTAGCATCATTATAGAATGTCATCTGATAATTATGTCTTGTTTAATTGCAAGCCAATCTGATTGGCTTGCAATTAAACAAGAAATAATGCAATCTACAAATAACTGAATTATCTGCCAGCAAATGACACAATACCGTAACTTACTTATCTCAGTCATTGTTGAGCTAGCACGCGATCCGTAATATTTTGGCGACTGGAATTTGAATTCAATATTCACACATTAATTATCCTTCACACATTGAAAAGCTCAACATAATTATTTTGTAATTTGATATATATGTGTTCGTATGTTCATGATCAGTACAAAGTTTGCATATATATCAGTAGGAACCAGGTCTCTTGTTAACATCGCATTGCTGTCTGAAACCATATAGTCTAGTGGTAAAACAACCGAACTGGTAATTGGAAGACATGGGTTCGATTTCCGTTGGGAAGTTCAGATATTTTCTGTATACAGAGCTTTAGCACGATATTTACTTCACATTTTTTCAAGTTTGCAACATGTACAATATCACAAACAGAGTTAGAATATGAACATACGCATTGGCGTACGAGACAAGGGGCGTGGGTGGGGGGATTCGGACAAATGCTAGGAAAAGTCGTGCAGATTTATCGGAAAATATGTTAAATTCAGGTTACTTCATTACATCCCCGGAAAGCATCAGCCCCGTACGCCAACGAACATTTAACAATTATTCGCCGAAGGCGAGGTGATTATTGGGGAATATTCGCCGAGACGAAGTCGAGGTGAATATTCCCCGATAATCACCGAGCCTGAGGCGAATAATTGTTTTAGTATTTTTGCACAAGTTTTTTTGTGTTTTTCTGGTCTGAATTCATTTTAATTCACTTATTTCTTTATCACTAACTTCAACAAAACGGCTAGTCGCCATTTTGAAAATTTCGATTTTGTTATATTCACCTGTAGGTGAATATAACAGATTAATACGTCAAATTCGACCAATCAACGTGTAGGATTTGTTATGTTTACTTGTGCAAAAATACTAAAAGAACATATATATGTATTGTTTTTCTTAGAAGTTGTCACCTCATGTTGAGCAAGTTAATAATACCAGTTCCAAGCTTTTTAAAAGCTCAAGAACAAGAAATTGCAAAAACGTTACGCTTGCACCTGAAAATGAATTAAACGGGCCGGACTGCAATAAATTGAACAGAACTAAATAAAAGTGATTTTATTACACAATGCTGTTACAACATGCTTTCTAATTGACTTACACAATACAATGCAATGCAACACAACGCAACGCAAAGTAACGCAATGCAACGCAATGTAACATAACGCAATACAATATAACACAATACAATACCAACACAATACAATATTGAACTCTCCCCAACGGGAATTTTTGGAGCAAATAACATATGCAAAACGTTATAAGCTATACTAGCTTGAAATTCTAATTAGTTAATTAGTAATATGCCTTCAAAAATTATCAAAGGCTAAATGCGACTATGTATGATTTTCGGCTAAAAAATATTTACGTAATTTATGATTAAAAATATTAACTGATAACCTACAGAGACAGTGTAGTGATAAAATGTCCGTTGACCAGTTGCACTCTTGAAAAAGGGGATGTTCAAAGTACTTGAGTTCCTGGTACAACATCCACTAATGTAGACCCTCCTCAAAAATTGCTGAGATAAAGACTCAGGTGTTGTTCCATTTAGATATTTGAATGTCATGACTTATGACGCGTTGACTCAGTGTTGTTCTCAGACTTTGTCCTCTTAAGATTATGCAAATCACATATGTAACTGATGTTGTTCCAAACTTCAAACATGCAGAATAAAAACGCGTAAAACACCTAGTTTTTGTACTGATATATATATATATATTAAGAACTATTTCAGTGACAGACCATAGTCTATCGAAAGGAAGATGGCTGTAAAATCATTAGAAAGTATTAGAATAACAATATAACTCATTATCTGACTCCGGTTTCCTCCCACAGGGAAAGTTGACAGGGTGGGTTAGGCACTTAGGTCAAGGGGCAGATCATTAATGAGGTATGGACTAATAGCGGCTGCTCAAGCGCCATTTGTAAGCTCAAAGTCTACCTCGGTCTGCCTCACGTCAGTACAGTCCTATCTATTCACAATGTAATCAGTCACTGAAAAGCCCTGATAGGGAGTGTGCTGTGAAATATCTGTATCTGTATAAATGTGTGTATTGTTTTTTTGCCAAATCTACCAATAGCATTTTCAGCAATTTCCCTAGCTATTGTTCAAGTCACCGATTGGTAACTTCCCTAAAGCATTGCTATATTGGTTAGTTGGGCAAAAATACTATACGCACGTGACGATGAAGGACCTGATTTATGAATAAACGTTGACTAAAGCCTGGCGCACACGATGCGATTTCACCGGCCGATAAAAATCGTTTGACATACCGATATACATCGGTATATACTCCGCACACGATTGTGCAACTTAACAAACTATGCATTAGCCTTTTTATGTACGATTACGCAAAAGGAAATTTACCTACCTTTTTTGACAACTATTTCACTTTGAATAGCGAAATTCATAAACATAATACAAGAAGTACAAATTTGATGCATAAAAAAGGCAATAGAACAAATTATGGAAAATTTTCAATAAAATATACGGGAACAGAAATATGGAATGGAATACCAAAAAAAATAAAAGATTCATGTACAAAAAAGAAATTCAAAACGGAAATGAAAATATATTTGTTTTCTCAAGACAAACTATAACGTCATGTTATATAGAATAAAATTAGAAACAATGATTGGTGTACACTAGGGAATAAAAAACAACTTTTAGAGTACGATTATATAGAATGAATTTAGTAATTGTTCCGCATATAATTTAACTATATGTACTCCAATTGAACTGATGAACCGCAATGTTTACCTGATAGATATTAGAAATAGACATATATTAACATTATAGCTAAGTATTATCTCAAGGAGGACTACTCGCAAAAGCCTTTTGGGTTTATTATAGTCTTTCTTCCAAATATGTAAACATAAATAAATAATATAACACGGGAAATGTAATGTACTATAAGCATACTTGGAAATAAATTCAATTCAATTACGAAAAAAATATGCTCCCTGAACTGTAGCCGCCATGTTGCCAAATAAATACAAGCACGTGATCACAGAATGAAATCTGATTGGTTATACTTAAAATTCCACCGATAAAAATCGTATAATATCAAAACGTTTTGATCTTGTCCGATTAAAATCGAGCAACAAAAATCGGTTAAAAATGACACCGCACACACAACGATTTTGTTAGTTTTAGTCAAACAATTTTTATCGGCCGACTAAAATCGCATCGTGTGCGCCAGGCTTAACATAGATAATGAGTTATATTGTTATTCTAATGAGTTTCACAGCCATCTTCGATAAGCTATGGACAGACTGATACTCATGAAGTCAAGCAGAATCTGCTCTCGACTGGTATAATTTCTAGCCCGAAAACAATTCGATTCCCACCGCTGTCAAGAAAACGTTTCAGCTTGCCCGGCATGGACACACATTTCTATCACAAACGTACACATATCTTAAGGTTACAGGACACCCTTTTTGGCGTTTTGCGGAAAATCGCTACTGCGCGCTCAATATCAGTCCGATTTTCATCAAATTTTCACCAAATGTTCTCCAGTGCATGCAAATTATGGTAAAGTTGTAAAACAGTTAACAAGCAATAAAATAATGTAAGAATTATTCAGGAAAATCTTAAATCGCGGTACCATTACGCTTTTGAGTTGTGCTCCTGCTGGTTTTAAGTTATATTTATGAATATCATTTTTATACAGTAAAATAGTTGTTCTAAAAAATTGTGTTCGGAAATTTTTGTTTACTTCGTCATTCCGCTGATATGGCGATTTCTTTGACGACTGCAATATATTTCTGAATTGTTTGAGTGAATTGCTCTTTATTTTTAAAATATCCAAAATTTTAAAAAAGCCGAACACAATTTTGAAACTGACGTATTTAGCTATGTCCTGTGAAAATTTGAGAAAAATTGGTTATATTAAAACCCGCAGGAGCATAACTCGATTGAAAATCAGTAATTACCGTAAAATTTTTCGTGAGAAAATTGAATTTGAATATTACATTTTCAATGTTTTTCTTATTGCAGCGAAATGTATTTTATTAAGTAACTCTGCGAGTTTTCAACATTTTTCGTTCAAACTTGGTCAGATAGTAGAACTAGTAAGTCTAATGCTTTTATCGAAACCAGTAACAAAATTTAGGCAAAATTAACACTCAAAGGGTGTTCTGTAACCTTAACCTGAGTGTATACAGGGTGTATCAAAATAAACGCAATTCATCTTTTGTGCTTAATAACTTTCGAAATACTATTTCTAGTTAAACGCTTTTAGGCTTACTTTAAAGCCTGTTCTTTTCTCTTTCAAACAAACTATTATCCTTGTCTCCAATGCTAGTAATAATTGCACAGGAAAAGATTTAGTAAAACCTATCATTTTTAGTTGCTGTTTAATTATGCAAGTTTACTATGTTATTGTTTAGTCGGTTTAAATGTTAGAATTTTCTTCTTTAAACTTTAATGTTGTCGTCACTACATCTGGAAAATCACGTAAGAACAAATTAAAAGTATTTTAAAAGAGACCAGGTTGTTTGAAAATCTTGAACGAATGCTAAAAATCATAGAATCAAAACATTCTGGTGTCTGAGCCAGAGTGTCATCGAATTGCGATGTAATGTAAACAGAAATTATAGCAAGCTGATGTCAGTCAGCTTAGATGGTCCAAGCCAAAATTATAACGCATTTGAAGTTTCAAACTGTGTTAAAAATAGTGGAAGAAAAGCCGTAATTATACTTATTGTTACAATCCATTTATTAAAATGCAACATTGTTTTGTTTTAATGAAAAAATCAGTTATTTTCATGAGAACGATTTGTTATTCCATCTCAATTTTTTTAATCTCCAATCGCAATAACGTAAAGTATTATTACCCGCGAACCAATGACTCAAATTTAAGAAACAACCCACTGTTAGAAAGCTGAATGGCTACGCTTTAAAATGAATGTAAACTTTAACGTTTTCGTCTATTATTTGTTTAGCAATTTACATTTCAGTCGAAGATTGCGCTTTTTTTGATACACCCTGTATAACACCAGAGATCGTAAGAACACATGCACTGATATATATCGAAGGAACTAGACTAAGTTCCGAAATATCACTCCCTCCAACCGACGTGACCTCGTAGCTCAGTTGGTAGAGTATTGAACTAGCAAACCAAAAGTCGCGGTTCGATTCCCACCGCGGCCAAGCAAACCTTTCATCTTGCCCGATGTGGACACACTCAGAGCCAACATCCGGCAATTGTCACAAGTTCAGTATTTTATAAAGCTGTATTTTATGTACCTAAAATACCAATATATGCACTAAGGAGTATACGTTTTTGGACATG